GGCACGAACCTTGTAATACTGCTTGTTTTGTGATGATCATATATGATTTTAGTTTTGACGTATACTAATCCATACAAAACTTTTAAAATTCGGTAATAAATGAAACGAAAGACTAAACTTGAAAAACAGCACGAGAAGCAAGAAATGCAAAAATAGGTTATTACTATTATTCTTGAGCAGCATTCTTCAACTTATTCTTGCGCTCCTTGATTCGATTAATTCCTTCATTCCTCTTCTCCTGCCCCATCTGCACAACCATTTCACAAAACAACTCAACATTATTAACTTACAAACACTTTCAGAGAGAAGACATAGACAAAAACAGAATTGTGTGGTGAATTGTAAACGGTAACGTACCTTCATGGCGTCGTAGAGCTTCCTCTTCTTACGGGGCATCGTCACCTTGGCCATAGCAGCGTTATCCTCAGCGATTTGATTATTATCTGCATTAGGAGCTGATTCTTCTTCTTCACCCTCAGCTTCTGCTTCTCCGTCCACAACAATTCCTTTTCCCTTCTTCAGTTCCAGCTTCAGTTCTTCATGGTATTGCTTTTCTTTCGCCGCCATCTATACATTTATAAACCACCCCAAAGTTAACTTAACACGAACAATAACTTAACAAAGCTCGAGTTAATCCATATATAGAGAGAGAAATAAGTCAAACCTTCTTCTTGTTCTCAGCAGCTTCGGCTTCCTCGGCACGGCTCATAACACCAGCGTATAACAAGTTTTGAGGATCTTCAAGATCCTCTTTCCCAACACCTGGCAATGGAAGAACTTTGTTTCTGGCTGCTGCTTGTAGCCTTTTAATTTGTTCTGCATAATCAGGTACATATCCTTCTGCTTCATTGTCCACAAACGGTGACAAATGCGGTGGTGGAACCCTGCTCGTAAAGAAAAAGAAGGAAGAAAAAAACAGGTGAGAAATGAAAATATAATGGTTGGTAAAAGCAGAAAAAAACAAGGCTTATGAATGTGTTTACCTTCCGACCATATACTTTTCAGTTGGTAAGATTATACGAGCATTCACGCAGTCATAGATCCACTGTGGTTGAACATACTCCCTTGACAGATACAAATGACCCGCACTTGGCTTATCAATGATCTACAAAATATAATGGATGTTATTAGGATCTATCTATCTACACTTGAGGAGACAATAATCAATGTTCAACAACAACAAGCTTTACGGGTTTACATGATGGGTAATACTATCATCATCCTCCTTGAAAGGTGCACCTTCTCCTTCCCAAGAAACCATCCCACCAAAAGCAGGAAGCACAAAAAGCAAGGACTCTCTTGGAACCTACAAAAGAATATAGAAATATTAAGATTTTTTTGGTTTCTGGTTGAAGAAAAACACAAGACCACTAAGCATTTATCGTCAGAATCTCTTTTTTTTTAATTAAAGCATCTACTTACACCTTATCGTCGATTACTGGTTTAATAGCATGTTTAGTCGCTAAAAGTTAAATTTTGCAAGGGATTTTACGATTACACAAGAATATTCAATATGGAAAGTGGCTCAGAAGGAATGAATCGGTAACATACCTCACGGCTCAAGAAAAACTTCAGATCCTTAAAAAGTGACTTGCACACTCTTGTTTCTTCATCCTCTTCAACCTCTTTATTGTTATCTGCAACGAGATGCATCAATGCACCAGGCTCACTTGAAGGCAGCTGGTGCTGAAGTTGTGCTAGTCTCAGTTCTGACTCTTCACGGTCGTTTGACTGTGAGCTAGATGAAGCATCAACTTTAGGCTCCACCACCATGCCTCTGGCGCTAGCATCAATGTATCTTGACAGTGCATAGAGATCTGCAACAGTGAAGATATGTCTAAATGTTAATCAGAGTAACAGATCCCAGATTCTAACAGTTAATTAAGAACTCGAAAGGAAAAATCAACGCATTACTGCATGAAGGAGGACAACATACCTGCAGCCAAAGCCTCCAACCGAGAATCAAGGATTGGCGGATATTTCACATTCAGAGAACGGTACAGCTTAAAATTAATGAAGGCAAGAAGAGTCTGCATCAAAAGGTGAATAAAATTTTGTCAGCATAAGTACATCAATTAAACTAGAGAAATCAAATTAATTGATTTATACTGAATTAACTTAACAAATGACAATGGAAATGGATATTAGAAGTTCTCACCTCATAAAATTCCAAGAAGGTTAGCAGAACACTGAAGTCAACATCATTCGTAAATACTTGTTGTATTGCATGAGGGGTCAACCAAGTGATCTTTTGACCTTCTACTTCAGCCTATAAAGATAATAACCAAAGTTTCATTAAAGAGGTAACTCTACTAATTCCATTATACGCTTTGAAGATAAAGTAACACAATACCTGATAATATATGCCCTTGACAGAAACGAACACTTTCCGTAATGCATGAGTACGCAAAATGTAAGCTTGCCATTCATGGCTCAATCTGATTCACAAAACAAGCGCAAAGTAAGACTAAGAGAAGCTGCCAATAAGTAAGGACACAAGGGTCTACGAGAGTATATAAGATACTGACTTTCTACAGTTGTGGACTCGTTTAACTTCAAGCTTTTCCCTGTCTGAAGCAGGTAACACCGCAAAAAGATGAACCATCGTAAGACAGTCATCCAAGTCGCGTAGTGCATCAATAAATGTGGGATACCTAAATATTCAAAACAAGAGCAGAAATGGGTGTGAATGGTCTAAACGCATAGATGGTCATTAGACAAAACAATAGATTCAAGTATCTGCAGCAAACCTTTCAAGGATCAATCTATCTAGCTTGTAAGTGGGTTGGCGAGTAAGCAAAAGACGTGCGAGCTCCTCGTTTTTCTTAGCCTTGGCTTTCAGTACCTTCTTTTGGTATGTTTTAATTTCCCTGAACTTCTCAAGAAGTGGCTCGTGATGAAGGAAAGCAATGTCCTTAACATGGTAGTATGTGTGGTGGTTTCCCTTCACCTTCTTCTTCGGTTCTCGAGGAAATATACCTTTGACGATACATAGTCTCCTGAAATGCACAAATTCACAGGTACAATTGAGCAGTCATGAAAATATATAGAAAACAAATCCAAAAACTCAATTGAACTAGAGATAACACATATTGAAAACATCAAATGTGGGG